GAGTCAAGGCACGGAGGCTGCTATAAGAAAATGACAGCAGATGCTTTTTAAGTCTTAAAAAAGATGGAAACAAAAGGAAAACCACCATTTTCTGAGATTCCCTAGGCACAGGGAAGCAATCTAGTGGTGCAGAGTGGCCGTGTGCTCTGATTGTCTTGCCAATTAAAGCAGGCGGAATCCTAAGAGGGAAGGGAGAGCTATTAAACTCTAAAACAGGAAAAGGGAGAAAGGACAGATTTTGTTATTCATTGAAAGATGGACAGCTAGGAAACAAGCAAGCTTGAGGGAGAAGAGGATACTCACATTGCAGACTATCAGTTTTCTACCTGAAGGACTAAACTACTTTCAGTCACTCCCAACCTGGGATGGAAAGGATTTAGCAATACAGCTATTATTAAAGGCTCCATTATCCCATCTGTCAATCGTCTCAGCCAGCAAGTCTCCTTGTGGGCAGCACTCAGGTATCTGCAAAGTTTTTACGGCATACGGTACTTATGTCTGCAGCCTGCAATTTAGTTCTTTTAAAAGCAACACTAAGTCCTGTCCATATTGGAGCTCTGTAATAATAACCCTAACCTCACCTATGGTTCCATTATCTTAAGAAAGATTTAAAGCAACTTGCTGCTTTATTTATGTTGCACCTGGCACGAAGTGAGGAAGAAGTTGCTTTTTCTTCTTCTCTTGCTCAACTTGGGAGAGAATTCAATTATGGAGCTAAGAAAATTTTCTGGACCTCTGCTCATCTAAAGACCTTTTGTGCCACAGATCAGCTTCCTCAGGCCCAGGCATTATTTTGAACAAAGGGCCAGAAACAGGTGCACTCTGTACTGCTAGAGTTTATAGAGAATATTCAAAGTAGGCGGATTGAAAGGGCTACCTGGATGAATTTTCTGCAGCATCCTTGGCTGTATGTAAAGTAACTGGTTTACATATTTTTCTAGATGACACACCTGGCTGCACTTTGTGTGTGGGCATTTCCAACAAGCATGACAATTTCAACTAATATGGGCTCAGTTGTACACACAGCTTGAAGGTGAGTTTGTGGTTCCTTAAAACTAAAATGATTACAAACTATTCCAATGAATGAGATCACGCTCCTATCCTTTCCCAACACAGTGACCCTTCAAGGTCAGAATACATAAAGGAAGAGAAGAAAAGGATCCCAAGATCCATAAAGCTCATTTTGTAAAACAGATAATTAAAACCATAGACCAAGCTACATTTCAAACAACTGAGCAGCTCTTCCTAAGGTAACCATAAGAATTGGTATGAAAATGAATACGCTAAGTAGAATTATAGTCACTTTAACTTCATTTACATGATCAGTAAAATGGAGCAAGATCTCAGTTGTTTGAAAATGAAAAAAAATAAGAAAAGAAAAGGTCAACTTGTGACCCATAATTTAGAAAATTATTCCATTTCTAAGGTAATCAGCCTGTCATCCAAATAATTCCCTGCTCACTCATTACAGGAAATGCTAATACTAGAAAATGTCTGTCTGAAGTTGCTGTGGCATTTTGATATACAATAATTTGGCCCATGACCTTCAGTAGTTGGGTTTCCAAATGTACAAGATTTCCACAAACATTTTCCCTAACATGACTATTCATATTAAGTAGATAACATAGAAATGCACTCCAGCCTATTCACTCTTCCCATTCAAAGTTAAAATCTTATAAAGAGACCAAAATAAATTTCAAATCATTTTCACGTTTCCCAGTGAAAACTGTCTAGAACTAAGTAGGAAACATGCATTTAGCCTCAAACAAACCTGGAGGTCTTGCATGTGGATATAATGTCAGAAACCAGAAATAAACTCATCAATCTGAGTTCTTAAAGACACATGTCTATTTCTGTTATATATTTAAAATATATTCCAACTTCAAAGAGGGGTTCTTTCAAGCCTTTCCTGACCACCCCACACTCATGTGGTCCTCACCGCTTTGTGGTTTTCAGCACCCCACGCACGTCCCTAGCCTACCTCTGCTGCATGGTTCCAAGTATCCCTTTATTTTTTATCAGTTCTATTGGAGAGTTCTGAAGGCATTTTTTCTTTTCGATCTTTGTTCTCCTGTACCAACCACAATGCCTGGGACATAGTAAGAACTCAATGAATTTGACTAACTGAATAATTAGTTAAAGAGTAAATGTCAAGATGCTGGTTTGGAATCCACATTCCCAGGCAAAGTCAAATGGCGAACACTGCTCCTTATGGCATGGCATGGAGAATGATAAGCTCACGTGGGGTTGTGCCAGGTTGGAACTGTGTGCATGTGTGATAACTATTTCCATATTTGTTGCTGACTTTTTCTCCTTAAGCTTGAAACCATGCTTATTACTCTTTTCAGCCCCTTTGTGTAAATATACACAGTTAAGAATGTATTTATCACACATCGCAAAAGAATCCTGCTTCAAGAAACCTAGTAGGAATAGATTGAGTTGATTATTCCAAACAGTATAAGCAGATTAACATAATTCTGCATGTTGCTACATGGGAATGACTCAATTTACTCATCTAGGAAAAGGAACTATATACCTCAGAAAATGCCATTAACAGTAATATTGTTGCAGAACACAATTAGAGATTTTTTTAGATATTAGAGGTAGGGAACTTGTACTATAACCTCCCAAAGTTGTTAGGCAAGAATTGATTTCATGAGGCGCTTATACACCTGGATGCTGATCCCATGTTGCCAGTTGCCTGTTTCAAGTCCCCATCTTCCTCACCTGAACAAAGCCCTTCAAACTACAGTTGACCCTTGAATACCACGAGTTTATACTTTTTGAAGAGATGAGGTTTTATCATGCTGCCCAGGCTGATCTTGAACCTCTGGCCTCAAGTGATTCACCCGCCTTGGCCTCCCAAAGCTGGGATTACAGGCGTAAGCCATCGTGCCTGGCCTGCAATCATTTATTCTAATCTTGGTTTAGAGATAAGAAAACTGGGGCCGGGAGCTGGGCCACCTGGCTACTGGGCCAGTGTTCCTTCCTAGCACTATTTCTCTTCAAACTTTCAATCTAGCATTGGCTCTTCCTACGTTTCTACCTTTAATCTCTCCATCCCTTCCACATAATCAATCCCTCAGTTCCACATCAGCTGGGTGGTTTACCCTTCTTCAAATAAA